CGGAATTCTTTGGACGGATCTAATTGAATACATATTTTTTCTCCAAAAAATCAGTCTACTTTAATTTTTTTTTTCATGACTTTGGAATAATTAAATAAAAACACTAATCATTACTATACATTTGAATTTAGCTATTTATCTACTCATATATTTTTAACTATCAATTAATTATATTAGTTATTTTATTATTTTTCAATCACATCAACATTATTATTTTTTATCACATTAATTATAACCATTATATTTTATCTTACAATCATTCACAATTTGAAAATTATTTCACATTTTTTAGCACTATAATTTTCTGACACATTCACAATTTATAAATTATTTATTTTTTCATCAAAATAATTTTGTATTAGTTTTAATTTTAAATAATCTTCCCACATCAGTGTATTTATTTTTCGAATTTTACACTCGTGCATATTTTTCACAAACATGATAGGTAAAATTCCACCTTAGAGGGTCCACGTCTGCAACTGCAAGTGCCGTTTTATTATTTTTTATTTTTTCTGAATTAGTATTCCCAATTATAAAAAGGCCCCTCAGCCATAGCAATTGGCTTCACTTCAGTCATCGATTATTCTTCGTCTCCACGAAAGCCATACCACAGCATAAGCTCATTTTTAATCTGCAAAAACAATTATCGAAGCGCTGTTGTTAATCTAGCTGGTATGTTTTTCATAATCGGATTTTCCATTTCTCGATTTTATCTTTGCTGTTAATTTCCAGCTCATTTGCCTTTGATTGTTTTAGAACAGATCTATGTTGTTTTCACGATTTATGAATATTATATGAAGGTTTATGAAACAATTAACTTTTTTTTAGAAAAGATACTGTTGTGCTTCCTCACTGTTCTGTATCTGCAATATTGAAGTCCTGAAGTTTGTTTTTGCTTGATTCTTATTTAGATGCTTAGCTAGAAATATGTTTTAGGTGAATGTTGCTTAATTGTTGATCATAAAAACTGGGTTACATTCATTATCCAATTTACCATTTTTTTTATTGAGGGGTTGTTTTCTCTCTGTCAAACTATCAGAAGGACTTAATTGAATTAATTAATCTGGATTTTGCCATGCTCTTTTTGGTTTGTTGAGAATATCCCTGCAGGCTGCAAGTACCAAAATTTTCAAATCCGTAACTTACTAACCCTTTGCTCTATTTTGTTTGGTTTAGGTTTGCCTTTGCCTAAAATTAAAATCCTCAAAACATTTTTGTTTGACAACTTTATCCTGTGCCACTGCGAGTGGTCCAATTCGTCTAAAATTAATCAATATAAGTTTCTGTCAAAGTGAAAGCATGAGAGGGCTTATGAAAATTATCTGTAACCCTTGATTGACAAGATACAATGTTTTGGTCCTAAAATTTGTTTTTTCTTTTAAGTGATGGTTAGGTGGCATACCATAGAAATTTGTCAAGATTTAATCATTTTATTTAGTCTTTTTAAGTTTTAATTTATCAGCTATCAACTCTTAATGATGATGAAGATTTAACTTTCTTGGCTGACTACTTTTCATTCAACCTTTGGGTTTCATCCAATCCCTTTTGTCATATTAAAAGGTTGTGGTTTGAGTCCTTTGTATTTGCCTTGACCATTCAAACAACAAACAGGGAAAAATACTTTAATTTTTTGCAAATAGGATTCTTGCAAATTGAGTTGATCCTTCCTATGTTTAAGATTAAGATAAGACTCTTTGTAATAACTGATCATCATCTTTGTGCACTGTTCTAATAAATTTTCTTTCATTTCACTTCACAGGTCCAAGAAAATCTCCCACATGGAATTTCCTCAGTATTTTGTTCAGGAATGGGAATCTACCCCCGAAAAGAATTCCGCTTGCTTCGACTGCAGTATATGCCTCGACTTTGCTCGTGACCCAGTTGTAACCCTTTGCGGCCACCTCTACTGTTGGCCCTGCATATACAAGTGGCTCGACTCCCAAAACTCCTCAGACGAGCCCACACAATGCCCCATTTGCAAGGCCCAAATATCCGAAAAAACCATAGTCCCTCTTTACGGACGAGGACAAACTTTTTCCGAATCCGAACCTGAGGGCAAAGTTGTAATACCTCCAAGGCCTCCCGCCTGCAATACAAAGGCTCTCACGAGCTTATTGAATCCTCAACAGCAGTTTATGCCTCCTTATCATCATCATAATCATCATCAAGATCGAATTCAACACGAGTTTTCGAATAATTTTACGAATTATGGAGAATACTCATCGTCTCCATTTAATCTACCTACAACGGGAGCTTTTGGAGAGATGATTTATGCAAGGGTTTTTGGTAATTCACAGAGTTTGTATACATATCCGAATTCGTACCACACTGTGTGGAATCGAAGCCCGAGGCTGAGAAGACTGGAGTTGAGGGCAGATGAGTCTCTGAACAGGGTTACAATCTTCTTGTTCTGTTTCTTTCTATTGTGTCTTCTTGTGTTTTGATTTTTGTTGAAAATAATGCTCCGGTCTGTAGTTTGTATACATTGTACAAAATTTTATGCGAGAGTTCATATGTACCTGTGAGCACCAAAGATGAGAGTTATAATAAAGTATTCATACGGTCTAAAAGTATATCCTTATTTCTTGAGCCTTCATGCAGTAGCTGATCTTTAACTTGAAGCAACAGCAGCATGAATGTAAAAATTAAAATTCCCAGTAATTTCCATAGAATGTCATTCATTCAAATATCAAATCGTCCCAGAATTTTCTCAAGAAAATCTAGCAAGAAAGTTCGAGTTTCTAACAAAAAATTATTAAAAAAAATAAAATAAATAATATTCCAACTATTCTGAAGCCTGGCTTCAGGAGAACTGAACCCCCGTTGCAACCTATATATCGACAGGGAGGGTGTAAAAAAAACGTGCAAATATCATTGCTACAAACATCAAACCGTGATTGGTTTACGACATATTCACTCGACCAGAAAATGGTAGACAAAACCACGTTCCGAAAAATCGCCAAAATACTTTGAAATATTCCAAGCTCGAGACTACTTTGTAAAACTCATAACTATTTCCGGTCAAAACACAACATTTTCGTCATCTAAACAAAGTCATGATCCTACTCAACACATCCGCACATTCATCCTCGCTCGCAAAACATCACATCTGAAAACCCCCTTATTTCACGCACGACTCAAACTCCACATCTCTCATCAATCTCGACATATCCCCCTCCCGACAAACGCCTCTCATCCTCACAGACTTCACCAACTTCACTGCCTTCTCCCGATTCCCACCTTTCTCCAGACACTCCAAACAAGCTGCCAAAGTCTCCCGAGCACCAACATTAGGGGGACACTCTACCATAGCTTTCTTTAAAGCCTCCACTGCCTTGGGCATTTCATTTTCCTTCATATATCTCTCTGCCAGCTGGCACCACTTCACCACTTCCCGACCACAGCCCCTTGATGACACTCTAGCTATTAGGGCCACAGCCCGACCCAAACGACCACTCGAACAATATATGTCAACCAAGAAATTCGGGACTCGAAAATCGAGAGACAGCCCACTCCAGTCCCAATCGTGCAGAATCTTCTCCATTCCCTCAATGTCCTCAAATTTTCCGAGCGCACGCATCATGCTTATGTAAACCTTGTTCGTAAGCTTTCCTGTCTTCTTGCGCCGGTTCCAAACACGGTACACGGCGTCCTTTTTCTGGGCCTCGGCGTACAACTTGATGAGGAAAATGAACATTAGGTCTTCCTTCTCGAGTTTAACCGATTTTCTCTCCATCTTGTTCAGTATGGCCAAGGCCTCGTCTACCATGCCCATTTTCAAATAGCCCTCGGCCGCCATAAAGTGTGCTTGCCAGCCTGTATTGAGAGTCGGGTCAGATTCCATGATTTTTAATATTTTACTCATTCCAACAGCATCGGATGACTCAGCGGATGAGCTCATGCAGACAAAGAACGTGAACTGATCGGGTGAGATGCCATCTGCATCCATTTCGGCTAACAGGTCAGTCACTTTTTCTCGGTTCCCCACTTTGTGGTACAATTGCATCATGAGGTTGTACCATATGGGTTTGCTGACATACCCCAAGTCTCTGGCTTTCTGCATCGTGGATTCGGCTTTTTCCACGGATCGGGCCACGGTGTAACAGTTGAGGAGGGAAAGATAGACGTGAAACGTCTTTAGTTTTTCTGGGATCTTTTCAAAGTACTTTTCTACTTGTTCTATGCCAAAGTTCTTGCATATTAATTTCAACCTTAGGGCAGCGTCGTAAGGAGCAATGGCATAGCCTCTCTTATTGGTCATCCAAAGAGATACCTGAAAAGTGCCAACAGTAAGCTCAAAAAGGGTTGAGATTGATAACCTGAGATGACAAAGCAGTGATCTTTAGACACTAATGACTTCTGAGGATTGTCATGGCTGGGGAATGGTTGATTTAAGAGTCTCAAGCCACATGTAGAACCAAAACAAACATACATTCACATAATAACCCTAGATTTTTCGACAAAAGTGGGAAAGAAAGAAGAAAAAAATCTAGTAATGGAAAACTTGCTGAACCCAGACAAGAAATGGCTAGAGGACAAAGAATAAACGTAGAAGAGATCCACTGCAAGGTTAAAAATTCTAAACACGAATGCAATTGAACTCGGTAATAAGCAAAAAAGGCAGAAAAATGAAAATGGGAACCTCGAGAGCGTGTTTGAATCTTTTATGCACCATGAGCACGCGAATAATTTTCTGAAGCTCCCATCTGCACGTATAGTTTCCGTCTACGATCCACTGGTCAAGCACGGTCGCCACAGACAGGTTCGGGTCGCCCAACGGCGAGATCCTACTGTACAGAGACCCCGACGACGGTTTCTTCATTGACGAGCGGGTTCGGGCCGGCACAGCACACAGGTAGCGTATTTGTAGTTTCCGGATCAAATAACAAACGCCCGATTTCAGGGCAAAAGAATTCGAGACGAGCTTCATTTGTGGAGATGGAACGATGATGCCACTGAGAACGGGTTGTCAAATGGCTGTCTACTGAGTGATGACGAATTGCGACATTAGTTTTTTTTTTTTCTTTAAACGATAGACTTAAAAAACTAACACTCCACCCCCCTTCGTCTCCCCCAATTTCAAAAAACTAAAACCCTAGCTTTATTTATTCGCCGTCTGCCCTCCCCAACGGGGCCGCCGGGCCTCTCAACGGTGGCCGGTTCCTGGCTTACGGCGCGGCTGCAATTTGATGTTGGGGCCATCTTCTCGAGCGATGGAGTCGGTCGGCGTTCCCAGGTGGTGCTCGGCTCCTTTGGCTGCCATCCCGAGACGAAGATCGTCGATTTTCATTGCGGCGAGATGGAGGAGGGCTGCGGTGTTGCGTCGGGGGCGGGTTGTGGCTTCGTTTGCCGCGTAGGTGGACGGAGTGGAGGTCGGTGGCTGCCTCCCATTGTTCTTCTCTTCCTTGGTGTTAGGGAGGAAGGATCTGCCGTCGCGCCTGGCTGTGGCGTTGGCTGGGAACGGGGTGGTTGTGTATGGTGTGGGTGGTGCTGGTCGATTGATTTCCGGCTGAGGGGCTGTGGTCGGCTGCCAGGGAATGGGCTGGGGTTGTGGGTTTTGACTCTAGTTATGCCGGGTGTTGCAGTTTCTAGAGTTGGAATTGGGCGTGGTCCGGTCTTTTTGGTGGTCGATTGTGGTGTTAGCGTTGAGGCTCGTCTAGTGTGTTGGTCCTGGTGTGTTGGTCCGGTCGAGGGAAGTGTTCTTTTCTTTTCTTTGTTTTGTTTTTTGTTTTGTTTTTTGTTTTTTTGTTTTTTTTTTTGTGTTTTGG